CGACCGATACACAATGCTCGCCCGTTCGTCTGTACTTTACTTTCTGTTTTTCGTGAACTTGTACATATTAATTGCGATTATGTAAATATCTTGAACACACATGTAAACACGCGCATGTGCCTGCGCGCAAGTTTATTTTAAAGACTACATCACGAGATATATATGTATAAATATATGTGATCACACACACACATATATATATATATACATATATAGAAAAAATATATATGTACATGCGTGTGCGTAAGATATCGTTGATATGTAAATGAGAAGCAAAAATCAAGAGTATGTGCGGTGATATAGGATCATTGCTAATACATAACTATGTTGTTCGAATACCGCCTACACCTAATTGCCCTTATTATCCATTGTATATCAATGTAATAAATTGCTGTTATCCCAAATTATTAGTGTATGTAATTTATATAAATCTCTTGTTTCTATTTTCTTTTTTTTTAACTTTTGTGAAGATTTTACATATTAAATAAAATATATTGACACTATATATTTATTTTTGCAAATTCCCATTATAATTAAAAAAAAAATTAGATACTTTAAGAAGTTTATTTATACTAATTTAATGTCAAAAAATTTATTAATTAAAAAAATGAGTGAGCTGGAACATGTATTATATATGTTACACAACACAGTTAAAATGTTTTTATCGTATTTAACAAGTTTAACTGATCAACATTCAAGATAAAATTAAAACAGTCGATTAAATGATTTTCATTGCATTAATGAACGGAACTAGTTAAATCAGAGGCTCGCCGATAACAAACATCATAAATAGGTATGTGTAAGTTATTTCCCAATCTAGCTTGGTGGGATATCACACTACTTATCAGATCGTAGTTACTGTCGTTAGTGGCATATCGTCGTCGTCGTTAGCAGAAACTGACTTGACAGACAGACGTTCGTAGTAGCTGTAACCATGAAATCTTTCATCGATTACTCGGCATCTAGCGATTTCCCGCTTGAAAATTTACCATACGGAATCTTCTCAACGAAAGATGAGGTGAGCAAAATTAATTACATCATAGATCGTGTAAAAATCATGCCACGTCATATGATTTCAAAACAATTCTAAATATAAGTATGTAACTACGCATTTTCAACTTCATCATGGTTTAGGAAGTCATGAATTATATTCTGACGAAATATAGTAATCTTTTATGGACTTTTGTCATATTTTTGAAAAATTATTGGAAAAGTTGTACAATAAAATATTAGGTTGCATATTTCTTCATGAGATAACTAACAGCAAAGAATGGAATGGAAACATTCCATTCTTGCTGACATTCAACGCCGTCTAGCAGAAATTTATATTATGGTACCATCGACTGATATATTATTGTTCGATAATTCTAATATCTTCATAAATTCCCCAATAAATTATATTATTTTATACTATGAAAAAATTGTCAAATTTATTAGAGATAATATTAAAATACAAAATTTATAATAATACTTTATTAATCATATAACAACTATATACTATTATATTACGATAGATAGATATAATACAAATAATATTTAAAATATTTTAGCCAGACAAAAAAATTGGTGTGGCAATTGGTGATCAAATTTTGAACTTGAATGCTATCGCAAATTATTTCGATGGACCATTGTTGGAAAGTAAGCAAGATGTGTTTCGTCGTGATTGTCTAAACGATTTTATGTCTCTCGGAAGGCCAGCATGGCTAGAAGCAAGATCTAAACTTCAAGAGCTGCTGTCTGCCAGTAATCATACTTTGCAAGATCCTGAAATCCGCTCTAAGTGAGAAATCAACAAACGAAAATTAATATAAAAAAATTTAGATCTTTAAAAATTGTATTATAATCTCTGCGTAACATCTTTTCTAGAATTTTTGTCGCTCAAAAAGATGCTATAATGCATTTACCAGCCAAAATCGGAGATTATACGGATTTTTATTCATCTCTTAATCATGCTACAAATGTCGGTATCATGTTCCGTGGAAAAGAAAATCCGCTGATGCCAAATTGGTAATTTTCTTATTAATATTGTTTTATGCTTGTACTTTAAAAATTACTTGTACTGTAGAATAAAACATTTATGTAAACAGGAAATATTTGCCAGTTGGCTACCACGGAAGAGCAAGTTCCATTGTTGTGTCAGGCACACCCATAAGACGACCGTGTGGTCAAACACTACCGGTTGAAGGTGCAGCACCTGTTTTTGGGCCTTGCAGATTAATGGATTTCGAGCTCGAAGTTGCTTTCTTTGTCGGTGGTCCATCTACAAATCTTGGTGATACTGTTTCAGCTTCTAAAGCGTATGATCATATTTTTGGGATGGTCTTGATGAATGATTGGAGCGGTACGAAATATAATTGAATAGAAAGAACTTCATAATTAATTAAAATTTTTATTCTGATTCTTTAGTTTTCTTTCTGTTTTGAATAGCAAGAGACATTCAGAAATGGGAGTACATGCCATTAGGACCATTCGGTTCAAAGAATTTGGGCACGACAATTTCTCCATGGATCGTTACAATGGAAGCTCTAGACGCTTTCAAAGTACCAAATATGACTCAAGATCCAGAACCGTTTCCATATTTGCAACATAACGAGTCTTGTAATTTCGATATTAAATTGGAAGTTGATCTTAAACGTAAGATGTCACTTTTTTATTATTTTTCTTATAGTTATTTACATTCCCATATTAAACATTTTATTTTATTGTAAAAAATAATTTTAATTTTTTTGCAGCATCAAGTGGTGTAATCACAACCATATGCCGGAGTAACTTCAAACACATGTACTGGACTCCACAACAACAACTGGCGCATCATACTGTTACAGGATGCAACATTAATCCTGGAGACTTAATGGGATCCGGCACTATAAGTGGAAACGTGCGTTTAAAATTTATTAGTATTGTTGTAATCGGCCTTATTAATACAATTAATATATTAAATTAGCTTTTGTCACATTTATCTATTGACTTTTTTCGTAATTTCTATTTTTTTTAAATTAGATAAATTATGAATTTTATTTTATATTTTATGATATATAAAATATTTATTTAGACTTCGGATTCTTATGGTTCTATGCTGGAATTATGTTGGAAAGGCACACATACTATTGCGCTAAAAGATGGTACAACAAGAAAATTCCTTCAAGATGGTGATGAAATAATTATTCATGGTAAATGAACTATTTATTATATATGTACATACATAATATATATACATATAAAATTACATAATTATTTATTTCATTGTTGTCTAGGTTATTGTGCTGGCGATGGTTATAAAGTCGGTTTCGGAACATGTACGGGAAAATTGTTACCTGCTAATAACTAACAAGTGAAATTGGTGCACAAGGCAAAATTATTCTTT